GCGCCGACCATTTTGGATTTGATGGGGTTGGATAAACCCGAGGGTGAGTGTTTCTTTTTAATGAAACTTTAAGTTTTGTTCGACGGGACGTTGATTGGGTTTTTGGGGGTGTGTAGATATGAGTGGGAGGTCGCTTTTGTTGAGGAAGTCAAAGAATATGGCTGGATAGATGAAATACGGCGATACGGCGGGATAGACTCGTGTATTGAATTAAACCCTGAATCTATATCTATAATTAAATGTCAAATTCGCTCTGGGCTTTGTACAACTTGGAGCATAGTGAAGATCGTATCGGTTCAAGGCAATCGTTTCGCTATCGGATACATTCGTGCATTTGGAACGCTAGGGATGTGTAGGGTATAGTATCCTCAGCGCCAGGCTGGGGTCTACATCCATGAACCTCGTTAGTTTAACCACAACTCTTATCAAATCAAACAAAACGCACTCGAGCGGACCCAGCACCTTGAGACCTCGAATATGAGTATCCTTCCCATTCATATAATTCGCCGCAATCACGATCTGGATAGCATAACAATGCAGCGGTCGTCTAAACCTCCACAACATCAAAACACAACAACCCCCAACTCATAAAATTAACAGAAAACGTACGCGTTCATACCATCATCCGACGGGTCCATCGAAACATCAAAATCGAGCCACTCGTTGGGTCGTTCGAACCCGACGTATCGCACCTCTTGGAGATCGTTTAGGCTCATGCCTGCGCGAATCGCGAGTCGGATGGGCGTGTACGAGTCGTCTTGTTCGAATTTGAGGAGAATGGCTATTTTCTGGTTGTAATGAAGCGGTCTTAGTTGTATGATGAGTTACGAGATGCTAGAAAACGTACTTGTACTGCCACTTTCTTGTGGAATTGGAGTGTGATAAAGTGAGGTTGGGGGCCGTCGCTCCTATACGCGGTTTCATGTTAGTTCACTAGCTTTCTCGACGCTTAGTAGTAGTTGACTTACTGCCAAAACGTCTCGGGATCGTCATCGCGTAGACAATCGACGTTGAACCCGTACTTGAAGCTCGACACGCTCCAGGTTGCGAGGTGTCCAATGTCAGGTAGTTTGCCCTGGTAGTGATCTCCTTTAAGATTCGTCAAACGAATGAGTGAATACAAAATGATAAGGCGAGAAGACCTACCAGACATTGTGCAACACACAAATTAGGAGACACGAACAGGCTGTGTATACAGTATTTAGCCCCGTTAACGTAATAAAACTTATAGAATAGCTGCTACTACTTGCACTATATCACGCTACTCACCCGAAAACGCAATGTGACCTGTGCCGACGGTGGTGGTCAAGTGTGGCTAGGGGTCGACTGGGGCTTTACAGAACCATATTTTAACTTTGTTCTGACCCCTATTCATCAAACAGCGTCACACAGGCGGAATTAAGACTAACACCTCCTGCGCAGCAACCCTCTTCCTCACTCTTCCCACCTAGAGAACCCCATTTATCAGGCTGTACAACTTACGCTGTGATGAACAGATGATCTTGATCCATGAATACTTGAAACGAGGTGTTCGGGTGCAGTTAGATTCAGCGCGCAATCTTTTTAGGGGATAGCATCGGTCCTCGGGGATCACGTCTAGAATACACCATCAACATCTGAGAAAATTTTAACTACTCCCGTACGGAGTTACTTCTAACACCTTGGAGAAATGTCAGTCGTTTGCGGCGAGTGTAACATATATAGAGCCACGTCCGGTTACATTCTTTCCGAAGCTGCTTGAGGCAACACTACTTACGATAACACCCCCATCCAAAGCAGTGATTTACAACTATCACCGATGATGGAATGTTTTCGGAGCCTTTCCCAGTGTAGAACAATCCTATTACACCGGAATGTTAACGAAAGTTAGAGGGTCCGAGAGCTGCGAGCGCCAAACGCGATCTGCTAAGCAGGCTTATATACCTCTTGCCCACGGGATAGCACAGCTTCCGAACAACGTCAACGGCGTCGGCAAGATCTCCTATTTGTCGGTACGCAACGGTTGCTGGTAAATTGATTTTGACTTTTTGCGGAGAAGGGCTACGTTGGTCCGAGCCAAGGCAGTCACCCGGTGACAAGGCCGTACACCCCTGATGGGGATGGTTTAACTATCTCACCCCAGCTCCAGTTCTAATATAATGTGCTGATAATCTTACAGCTCCTGTCACTTTACTGCTACCGAGGCGCAATACAAGGAAATCCGGGAGCAATAATAAACACGATCGATCAATGGAAAATACCCGAAGTGCCTATCGCCTCCCTAAGCGGAGTGTATATGACCGTTATCCCCTACTGATACCGCAACAGTTACATTTTACTGCTTCAATTGCTTCCGCTGTTATATACCCGTGGGGCGGCACGTTCCTAGCGAAAGGCATGAGGTCTGAACTCTACTCTGAGCTGTGATACTTAAGTTCTTCTGGCGGGATGCCATCACTCCTCGAGCCCCCCTACACTCGTTGGTTTTAGGTATTTGTGTGGATGGTATGTACTTATTACACATGGCTCTTTCGTACTAAGCATCTTAGAAGGTATACAAAATGACTGTTCTGCCATATTCTATCGAACAAGATGCCGTCACCGCGCATATATACACCGATCCTACCCACTCTTTCTCATCCAAGATCGCTGTCTTATTCCTGTTACATGGACATCCGTCTAGTGCGCGACATATGAGACCAATTGTAAACGGTTTGTTCGAGCTCACATCAAAACTGGCTAAACTTGCCGACTCGAAACAGAACTTCGTTATTGTAACGCTAGTAAGATTAAGGCCGTCGATCCTATTGAGACTCGTATCTAATTGGTTCATAGGATCTCAAGCCAGAGGACAAGGAAAACGAACTAGAATCGTGAGCGCGCCCCAGTCTCAAGAAAACGCCGCTAACCTTCATTACAGTGACCGTCTTTACCGACGACAAGGTAGGCTCGTACGATATACCCGTTGTCTATCTACTGACCGCGATTCATAACAGAACGCATGGCAGAAGGCGTGTCTGCGCTCATCGACCGACTTCCTTCGCTGCTTAGCCCCAACCATGACAAGATTTTGTAGGTCGTATGCTAGCGTTGCCCAGAAGACTCATTAAGGGTATCCTAGTGACACTTGGATGGTTGCTGGCGTGTCGCTAGGCGCGCACGCAGCTTGGCTGGCTATTGACCGAGGTGAGCCCGACTGGTCCGGACATCATCACAAGCTCAACATCCAATTTAGACCCTCGTCTGTCGGTCTGTATACCCGTAATAGGTTCGTGTAACCCACGCCCGTCGCCTACTCCGGCTGACCTCATCATAGGATCCCCTGACTTTCTCGATATTGCAACCCAAAGAACTCCCGGCCTTCCTCTCGTCTCATCGTACATGTCCTCTAGCATTAGGAGCTATATAATAAAAAACGATCCAGTCTCGCGCAAGCGCAACTCACAAGAGTTCACAAACAAACACGTGCTAGCACTGGCAGGAGCACAGGACGGCATAATCCCACTACTCCCAACACGTGCTTTTTTGGACCGTATCGACGTAGGTCCGACAGGGTCAAAGAGGTTAGTGATACAGCAGGGGGTGGGTCACCAATGTACGAGAGAAATGGTTAGAGAGATGGCCGAGCTTGTATGGAAGGTGGCTTTGGCATAAGTGCTCCGGTTCTCACTTTCTCTGGGTTTTTGTCGTTTGGTTATGTGGATTATTTTATGACCCCTTGTAGCTATGTACTATACCCTCATGACCACTGTACTAATCAAAAAGTGCTGCTATTTTTGTCGAAGATTACGAACGCGTGCCACTTTTTGAATAGACTCGATGTAGAGCGCACGCCGATAGTCAGCTGGCAGTAAAATGTAGCTGGTGCAACAACGCGGCCTTCGGCTTACGATGAGCGACCTCCGATCCTAGATTGAGTGGCTATATGCGTGTAAAGGCTCATAGTTATGACATCTTGAAAGTACTTGGCATTCAAGCAGATTTCGCTTGTTAAGGTATCGAAATATTGTCAGATGTGATTCGCAAACAGGATGCTAAGCGATAACATGTACTGCATATACATTATGCCCACCAAAAGAGATCCTGTAAAATAATTGCCAATACCGAGCACGGGGCTTGAACCCGCAACCTTCGCCTCAACAAATTAGGGCTGGTAGGAGGGCGATGCTCTACCATTGAGCCAACCCGGCTTATCAACTGTATCCGATTGACTCTTTACGAGCCATGTGCCAACATCAACCCCACATCAGTGATTGATATCATTAGACTCGACCAACGACGACTTTAACCATATAGTTCTGGTTGTTTTTTCGGAACACATTTATCATTTGTTATGCGAGCACACATAGGCTTCTAGTCGGGTAAAATTACTGGCGCATACAATGGACACCATCTAGCGAGTGCACGTTGGCCGCTCGGCAACACACAAGCGCCGAAATGTACATCCGATACCCGAAGCATATGTTATTTTCAACTCGATATCACATCAAATGGAACTCAATGGAACCAATCGCGTTCCTTGGCATTTGCACGTGGTGCTCATGAAGACGATAAGTACCGGTAATGGGCGGCTCAGTCCAACCTGCTCCCCATCCCCCTCACCCGAACATTGACCATGGCTGACCCTCAGGCTCGACCTTTCGGTCTCTCACAAGTCTCGCTCATCTTTGCGTAGGTCGTATAACTTATCAGGTGCATGGTACTAACTACACTTGTAGATGTGGGACGGCATTATTCTCGGACGGTATGTCGTTTTCATTTGGGAGGGGGGGGGTGTTTTCTTACCATGTGCCACAGGATATGCCAATGGTGTTATTGGAAGCGGTATGTAAATATACCCTTATCTCCCTTGGTCTATTTTGAACTATTCGCGATGTAGTAAACACGAGTATGTATTACTTGGGGCCGATTATACTAGTTGAACTCATGTGACTTTAGTTCTCCGACGACTATATCCCGACGACATAGCCAAGCATGACTATGGAACCACGCTTTCCTCAGTTGCATTTGCAGGAACCATAGTCGGAATGGTTAGTACCTTTCTCTAATATACCAAACATTACCTGAAAATGTCTAGTTGCTCTTTGGATACCTGAGCGATAAAATTGGGCGCAAATTTGGAATGGTAGGTCAAGCGACTAAAAGGTTTACCTGCTCTGACCCCTTATAGATGTCAGCTACGCTGATTGTCGCTGTCTTTTCGTTTCTTTCTGCATGCTCAGCTGGAGCACATGGGAGCGTCGGAGGCATGCTCGCCATGCTCTGCGCTTGCCGGTAAGCGCGGCTCCTCTTTCATCCGAGGAGGTTAACCGACACAATTGCAGCTTCTTGTTAGGAATCGGGGTGTGTAGAATTGAATGTGTTCCATTCCTGCTTCTCATTCCCTGCAGGTCGGAGCAGAATACCCCTCTGGCTCCGTTGCCGCGTCCGAACAATCAGAGGAAGAAGGGATCTCTAAAGGCGCTCAGCATCGTTGGTTTGCCCTCGCTACAAGTGAGCTCCCTCGTCCTTCGAGTTTACAGTTACTAACTATTTGACAGACACGATGATTGATACCGGATTTGTGATTTCAGCCTTTACCCCACTTGTTCTGCTTTGGATGTGAGTTCATGTCTCATTTTCCTTTTTTTTTTTTTCGCCAACTGTTTCAGTTTTGGCGAGAACCACCTCCGCGCGGTATGGCGTGGATCTCTCGGCCTTGGCGTTTTCCCCGCTC